TTTGGTAAGATCCAGATGCTATAAAATTCAATGCGCTTAAAACCTGTAACATAAAAATAGCATTAAAAATTAGTAAAACTGATCAAGTTGATTAATTATTGTAACTCACAACATATGTTTCGTACTTGTAATTGAACAGGAATTGCATGACGTCTTCTCGGGGCAGGCAGTAAGGGACGAAGGTCATCGATGAGAATTCGTACAGCTTCCCTGGATAATCTATAGAAATGTAAAAATTACTTATAACAGATTCCTCTCATTCGACTCTGTATATATTACAGACTTGTATCTTCTGTATTGTATATATTTAAAGTTGCTTCAAAACATACAAGATGTAGAAATATATATACACTACATTTATATTATATATATATATATGTATGTATGTGTGTATGTATATATATATCATATAAATGTAGTGTTACAAAAACGAAATTGATCTCTATATAATGTTAAAATATATAAAGACACTAATAAAAATAAAAATTTTTAGAAATGTAATTTAACCAACAAACACGATTACTTTCAGTCACTCACCTGTAAAGACTCCGAAATTCGTTTTCTGGGATCGCAAATGGATTCGAAACATCTCGTAATCCACGTCGTATTCTTAACATTGTATTATTTCGATTGCGCATAAACAGTATAACCAATAAATTATCCATTTTTAGCGAGCCAGGCCGTTGAACAGTCAATACGCTTCACTCACTTTCACTTTTTCACGCAAAATTTTGTGTCGAGTCTGCTCACGTGAATCAGTTCGCACTCTCACGAGGTGAAAACAACCGTGATTGGGTGAGCTGCTCACTTCTGTCATTTTTACCCAATCCGAGAACCGTAATAGACCCCCTGACCTCCTCGTCGGCTTGTTGAGTCAGGATCTCCGCTATTATTTGGCTGTCAGCCTCGCAAAGACCGCTGTCGAGCTCCCTGGTTACCTGGCTGCACTGCTCAGGTACGGGTGTAGCTGCTCTCGGCTCCTTCTGCTCCCTGGCTATGGTATTCCTCGCCTGCGACATGTTCGAGGTGTCCAGGCTCGGTTCGCGACTGATCTGGGGAACGGACGTTTTAACGTACGGTTCCAAGGTTAGGTTGTAACCGGACGGTACTACTGGATGCACGAATCAACGCTACGTGTCCTTAGAAATCAACGGTCGCCACTCGGTTTGACTTTTGAACCACCGAGAAGGTAAGTATCGAACGATATCTCGAACTATCAATCAGACTAATTCTCTTCTTTTTTCAGATTCCTGCCACCGCGGATCATCGCCGTCATCGATCAAGATCGTCGCTGCCACCGGAATCCAGGATCAACGAGGGACTTCGAGTGACCGACGCCAATGGATCAGGTGAGTAGAAGGTAAGTCCAATTTAATAAATTTTCGAAATCTTTTACGAAAAGGATGTTTAATTTATTCAATTATATTGATTTCCAGTGTTGGTTGTTCACAAAACTTTAAGTCACAAAAGATGTCGGACGCTCGGATACGTGGGCACATACGCCCCGTTTATCTACGACGCACGATCTTATTTCGGTCTAAAAAGGCCGTTCGTCTTTGTAAAGACGACAATTAACGCGTTCCGCGGGCGTTGCCGGTTGTTACGAATGTTGGCGAGCCGTAATTATAGCACTTGTATGACGATCGCGGTGACTTAGCGCGACGAAACAGAGCGAAGTTGATTACGTGTTACACGCTCGAACATCCCCGACAGACTGCCTCGAGCAATCCTCCTCTCTCGGGCTCCCTACCTACGGTGCCCTTTTTCCCCACCACAGGGTATTCGGTCGCTTTCTCCTCGCGGTAATTTTCCGCTCGCCGCGTTAACAATGGTTGTT